TGTCCAAAGTTCTCTGCTATAATAGTTATCATAATTCCTAGCGTCGTACCTTGGACTTGATACATTCTCACATCTCACTGACAATGTGAGAATGTATCAAGTCCAAGGTACGACCCTGGGAATTATGATAACTATTATAGCCATTCTCAGCACCAGGTAACAAGTCTTAGAGTCAAATGAAATCAATCCCTTGACCAACTTTATGCAGAAATGGTTGTGCTATCACTTCTTTCTGTCCAGACTCATCTATTCATTCCTTAGCCTCTTATCGCACTCCCGCCCTATCACTTTTGACATATTTATATTCTACTCCAAAAAGGACACACCTGAGGATTGGAATATAAACAAGTCGGAAGTTGTGATTGGGTGGGAGTGATAAGTGGTTAAGGTGTAGATAGATAAGCCAAGACCGAAAAAGGAGTGATAGTATAACCGTTTTGGCAGAAAGTTTATCAGAGAATTGACTTCATTTGTCTCTGGAGAGTTGTAGTCTTGTGCTGAGAGTGGCAAGATTAATCGACGATGCCGACGAAACGCCTGAGAATGTCTAGTCTATGGTTCGATGCTTGGAATTATGATAACTACTATAGCAGAGGACTTCCTACAAGGCGTTTCCAACTAAGTCGCCCTGACGACACGAACAAGTTGCGAAACGGAGTCAGAGCACTTCCAGACTATTATTAGCTATTAATGATGTCAAAGCAACTTACCTTTTTAAGTGGAGGAGCCAGTGTTTTATGGTTATTAATATTTAGTGAAAACTATGGCCTATGCTTCTGTTTTTCATACAGTATTATAACATGGATATACTAAGGATCACTTGCTCTTTTTGCATTAATTTTTTCTCTCTAACTTAATACTGCCTACAAAGAGAAGTTGAGTTCGGAGAAATCTCTTGTTTCATAAATGTTGAGCTTGCTACTATTTCAATCGAAAGTGGATTGTGTAGGGATTCGAAAGTCGATTCGATCCCATCAAAAGACGGCGGCGAATTGCGGCCGAAAACAGTTACACTATAACTCCTCTTTCTGTCTTGTGCTATCTATAAACTCTTTGCCCTTTTATCTCACTGCCGTTAATTAGACAAGTGAAATCAATTCCTTCATCGACGTTCTGTCAAAAACTGTTACACTATCACCTTTCTGTCCTGGCCTATCTATCTACTCTTTACCCTCTTACCATACTCCCGTCCTATCACAGCTTCTCCGTTTCTAATAAACCAGTAAAACTTTATGGTCCTGGCAGTCAGGGAGCTAGGCGGATAAGCAAGCCGCCACAAAAATTCGACGTTATGACCCAAATGTACTAGAAATTCACTTAATGTGTGCATGTCACCAGAGATAGGCGTCCACAGTTTGCTCAGACTACATGAGTTTAATCAAGGAGACGACTCTTTAGGGAATGCCTGATATCTGCAAGCATGGGAATCAGACCGTATGCGTTCTGTCCGGTGAGGCGGGCAGTGTACGTGCGCCTGGAGTGAAACCCACACTGGGACTGGAATCGAATGAAATCTGTCAACCAGAAAGATAAGGAACGAATCTACGAGACCATGAGGGAGATCCGGATAAGAGGCTCGAGTCGAATTAGCCAATCGAAAGAGATGGGTTCGGGGTGAATAGCAGGTGTGATTAGGCCACACTACATTTGCTACAAAAGGGCACACATTTTGAAGGGTGGAATGTAAACAAATAAGAAGTTTTGATAGTGGGAGTTTTGATAAGAGGACAAAAAGAGAAGTGATAGTGTGACCGTTTTTGGCAGAGCGTCGGTAAAAGTATTGACTTCACTTGCCTCTGACGAATTCGTAGCATGGTGCGGAGAATGGCAAAACTCACTGATGATGCCGGCGAAATGTTCGAGAATGTACCAAGTCCACTGTCTGATGCTGTGAATTATGACAACTATGGCAGACGACTTAGGACTAGGTGCCTTCTACTAAGTTGCCCTGACAACAAGACCAAGTTTCGACGAGGTCAAGCCACTTCTATAAATCGAAATGAGACTGTGACCATATCAGAGGCCACATCATCTTGGTCTTCATATCTTCAATTAGTTGTTTCTGTTAAACTTTTTTGATTAACAGGTCAACAGAGTACTAGAGAGGACATTTTGGTGAGTTACGATGTGGTATAAATGTATGCAAACATCTCGGTTCAGAAGGCTTTTGAGCCGCTAGCACAGCCTGGGTGAACACCCAGATATTATTAAGGGAGCAAATCTGAGAAAAAGCTCACTCTTAAGGCTACCTAACCTATTTATGAGTATTACATACTTAATTTCTAACAATAAGTTAATTGAGAATAATTATTCCATGGGTTTGATTGAAAATAACATCAGATTTATGAAGAATAACTTTTTTAATGATGAATACGTAAGAATAGATAGAGACCTTTTCCCAATTCTTGTCTTTGCCTTCGTGCATTTTCTCTAAAATGATCTGTGAACTAGTAAGGAAGTATATAATAAAAACGGTTTTCAGGGAGGCTTCGGCACTTTCATCACTTATGCCCACTTATTATCCAGATCAGGTTGCTTTTATGTTGGCGAGATTTGTCCCATTCGACAATGGATGGCTGAGCATAAGAGCGCCTGTAGAAAATATTGGGTTCAGAAATCAGAGCTGGCTGAGCACACCGCAGAAGCTGGACTTGAGATGGAATAGTCCTAAAATTTTCGTTTTGCTGGTTAGGGTATCTCTGTGGCGAAGCTTAAAATGGGAGGCCATCGAAATCAACCGACTAGGCAATACAATTAGTTTAAGGAAGGAATATCGGCAAAAAGTTAAGTAAAAACTACTTATGCTTAATTAGTTGACTCAAGGATAGATAGACTGTTGAGTCATATGCAAAATAGAGGCGATTAAATTAGTATTTCTTGTCGTGGTTCCAATTACGGCTAATTCAATGTTCTCTAGTCCATTCTCTTACATGAAGACAGAAAGCTCATCAAAATAAATAGATGTGTTTCCGACTGAGCAATATGAGTGATGGCTAAAATAGGTAGATAGGGTTGATGGCGGCCACCAAACCTTGATGGCTGAAAGCAGACTTTCTGTTTTAATTACTTTGAGTCAACACTGCAGGCTCCGTGAACATAGGAAAACATGAAGCACACAAACACACATAGACAGTCACTCACATACTTCGAGGTCCGACACATAAGTTGAGCTAGTCATACCATTTTATACCCAATCAAAGAGGTTAGATATTGGGTATATATACAGCATTTAGGGATGAACCGGTGAGTTTTCTTGATTCGTTTGGTTGAATATGGTTGTGAGGATGTCCGTCGTATGGCGGACAAAAGCTTAGCAAATTTTCACCTGAATCTAATTGGATTGTGTCAAATTGCTTCAAGACAAATCTTCCAGGAAATTCAATTGACAGATGATTAAGATGAATTCGGCGTCGTCTTCTGGTGCCATCGACTATTGACTATCGAATCTCTTTCTCAAATACTTTCACTCGAAATGGAGCTAAGCTCAACAATTAATCTTGCTTTACCCCATTATAATCTAAAATCTCTTCTGTCCCCTCATATTCTTGCATTAAGTCGTATGTTGTCAAGCCTCTTGAATCATTTTAGCAGAGCTAGTTCTCTATTAATTGCTAATATTTACCTCAATAAATAATAATCTGATTGAGATGTTATCTTAGCGCTTTGGCTTTAGCTCACTTTCTATCTTTAAACACGATAATAAATTTATCTCATACCTTTATTTGTTTATCATGGTTATTTCGTTTTTTTATATTGAGATTTATTCATAATTAGAAATCATATTTGAATTTTTGCTACTTCGATGCTTCTATCTTTAATTTGTTAGGCTGGTTTTGTCCATTCTGTTTTTATCCTTGTCATTCGCACATCGTGTAAATTTTAGTCTCTCGGAATTCTTTTTCAAATCACATTATCTCAGTTTAAGTCTATATTGATGAGTATATTAAGGACTAGTTTACCAGTATCTGCTTTGAGCAACCCCTTATTGGTAATTGTTGGGATTCCTCGAAACCCAACTTTTCTTCCCTTATTGGTAATTTGGCCTCTACGCTATGTGGAGGCATGCTTTTTTATCTGGAGACTGCCTCTAATTTTTTATTTGTATTGTCCTGTCTAGCACAAACCTGACTTCGGGCTTTCGATCATTCCAGGCTACTGCATCCACTAACGAATATCCAATGTCTGAACCACCTTTGCTACCTGGTGCCGGGAGCCGAGTCTACGCGCCTGCTGGTGACGTAGCGTCTGCCTCGCCAACGAATCTCCAGCTCCAACACCTATTTCAGGGAGCAACTTCGAGTGGAGATACGCGTATTCCACCTCTTTGGGCCCCCAGTACCAGACTCTCCGAAACCTCTGCTGATCGACGTATTGGCTCTTCGGCCCGTCCAGTTTCGACTCGACTTGGTGGCAGTACGGTGTCTAGCTTGAGTGCACTTGCTAACTCACAACGGACATTTCGCTATATTGGTGAAATTTGCTTGTCTTTTCACCGTTGATCATGTTATCTATCTTTTAACACCCAGTCTATTGATATATTTTTCATGTACGAAGCAACTTTTTCTCCATTACATTCCAGGTGTAGAAACCACATGTAAGGATTTTTTTGGAGCTTAGCATCTCATTTACAGTCCTTATTTTATTTGAGAATATAGGAGCTTTGTGAAAGATTTGACAGAGCAGAATCGTCAAGCGGAAGTTAACCTGTACTTATGCTTTTGGAATTTGTAACAGTCCACTGTTATGAACAGAGGAAGGACCCGCATTTGCTCTTATTACTTTGACCTTGATATTGGGGTACTTACAATAGACCAATTCATTGTTGATATTACGTGAACTAAGGGTTGTAAAGGAGCTGATGAGTCTTTGAAACTTGTTCCTTAACCTCATGCCTTGATATTTCCAAGTATACCCTATTCTCTTTACAAACCTTTCTTCACTAAGTACTACTTACGTCATACTTTACGTTTTATTGCATAAAAATGATTATTATGTATACTCTGACACTACTCGTTCGCCGAAACTATTCAGCATCGCTGAATTACATTGATTGGAATTCAAGGGTACAATATTTGAGCTACAAAACAAGGAAGTGGTCTCTATTTTATTGTAACTATTTAAAAAATTATATCGGTCCATAATTTTTAAGAATAATATACCTTTTTGAGATAAATACCTTCATATTATCGAGCTTTTTAAAATGAAATTACGCTACCTTAATTCTTTGGTGGCATTGAAATGGAGGCAGAAGTTATTCTAATTTATCTAACCTTGTACTAGACGGATAGGAGAATTTCCGAGGCCATTTATTTCGATGTTTTCCTTTTCACAAGTCATGATTACAATTATATCATTAGGGGGACTTTCATTTTGTATGAAAGTGCATGAAGAAGAGATTCTTAGGTCGATCTCAACAAAAGAGGACAGATGGATCCTGTTATATTACAACCGTTTGACTTTTATATGACGTTCGGGTTGACGCAGTCCACGAGACCTCTCTCGTTTCGGGTGAAAACGG